AAAAAAAAAAAAAAGAAGAAGAACAACTACATGGTGCCTGGCTACTGCTGTCAAACACATAGAGGGGGATCTATCTAGGAGCTCCTGGGTAGAGTGGAAGAAAAAGGTGGAACAAAACTCAAAATTATTTTAAAAAAGGGGGGGCGCGGTGAGACTAGGTTTGCTGGTCTGATAGAGCTTGGTGGAACTCATGAGACTATGGCCCCTAACTGCCTTTCAGTTCTGGAATTGAACCCACTCCTGTGGTTCCAGCCAAACAAAAGACAGACATACGAGTTGAACATTAATATTAGATAGATACACTCCTTGGAGAGATCAATCATGGGAGAATAGAAGGGCTGTGTATGCACAGGGACGTAGCTCAGGAGGCAGGAGTGCCTGGGAGGGAAGGACACATGGAAGAGGTAACTATGGGGAGGAAGTGAGAAGAGAGCTGTTGTATTGTGGAAAATTGCAGTCAATGTCACAAGATAAAGTATATGTGAACTGCTGTATGGAAAATGAATTTGCTCTGTAAATTTTCTCCCAAATCACAAAAATTAAAAAAAAAAAAAAAAAGGTGACATCTTTGCTTTTCAATATTTTAAAGAGGTCCTTTGCAGCAGACTTGCCCAATGCAGGACATGGTTTGATTTCTTGACTGCCACTTCCATGGGCATTGATTGTGGATCCAAGTAAAATGAAATCCTTGACAACTTCAAACTTTTCTCCATTTATTGTGATGGTGTTTCTTGGTCCAGTCATGAGGATTTTTGCTTTCTTTATGTTGAGGTGTAATCCATAATAAAAACTGTAATTTTGATCTTCATCATTAAATGCTTCAAGTCCTTGTCACTTCTGGCAAGCAAAATTGTGTCATCTGCATATTGCAGATTGTTAATGAGTGCTCCTCCAATCCTGATTTCACATTCTTTTTCATATAGTCCAACCCAAGAAACTCCATTCAAAATAGAGTCGATCTTAACGATGGGTGGAGTAAAGCTTTCGGGACCTTCATTTGCTGATGTAGCAGGACTCAAAATGAGAAGAAACAACTATGAACATCTGTCAGTAATTAGAATGTGAAATGTATAAAATATTAATCTAGGAAAAATGTAAGTTGTCAAAAATTAAATGCAACGCTTGAATATCGATATCCTAGGCATTAATGAGCTGAAATGGACTGGTATTGGGCATTTTGAATCAGAAAATCATATGGTCTACTATGCAGGGAGGGAGCTATGGTGGTGTAGTGCCTAAGGCATTTGACTGCTAACCAGAAGGTTGGCAGTTCAAACCCACCAGCCATTCCTCGGAAGGAAACCTAGGCAATCTACTTCTGTAGAGATACCGCCTCAGAAACCCAAGGAGGGGTCTCTATGAGTCCAATTGACTCCATGGCAGTGAGTTTGGTTTTGGTTTACTACGCTGGGAATGACAAACGGAAGAGGAAATGGGTTGCAATGTGCATCACTGTTGTGTGCTGTTGAGTGACAACAGGGTGGGAACTGCCCCATAGGGTTTCCAAGGCTGCAATCTTTATGAAAGCAGACAGCCACATCTTTCTCCCACGGAGCAGTTGGTAAGTTTGAACCATCATGTTTTGGTTAGCAGCTGAGCGCTTAATCACTGTGTCACCAGGCTTCGTGCAATCTGCATTACTGAATGCCAGATCAATAAGGAAATGCTCTCACCATCACTAGATCTCAGTTCTCATTTGGAGCCAGGGCTTTGAACTTGTTGAAAGAGTTTCAGTAATTGTTGTATGCACTGCATAGCAACCAAACCTGTTGCCAGTGGTATTTCGATCCAAATAGGAAACAGGGGTGCTGCTCAAAGATGGCAGCCTACCACGCTGCTCTGGAGGTATTATTTTGCGCTCCACAGTCTTGCCAGTAATGTTGCTGTCCAAAAGTCCTGCCATAGTCCTAAAAAATAAACAAACCAAACTCACTGTCGTGCACTCGGACCCAACTCATAACGATCCCTCCTTGGGTTTTCGAGGCGGTACCACTACGGAAGTAGATCGCTCAACCTTCCTTCCGAGGAGTGGACCTGAAAATTTCAGGAGCCTCACGCACTGGATTGGATTACATAAAGAGTTTTGAACCGGTCCGAAACCCTGTTTGGAAGAGACTTAATGGGGGCGGGGCACGTTGGCGCATGCGTCTGACGGTAAGCGGGCCGGCGAGCGGCTCTGCTGTAGACAGCGGCGCCACTTACGGTGTCGCGAGGTACTCTGTTGCTAACTGCGACGCCACATACGGCGGCGCGCGCGGGTTTTTTTTTTTTTTTTTTTTTTTTTTTTGGTGACGAGCGCCGCGCTTTTGCCGCCAGCGGCTGCAACGTAAGGATCTGAGGAGCTATGCCGAGGGAAA